CATCAAATGTGTAAAGGAATATGATAACTTTTACTTAGATACATCTTTCAACTTAACTATTGTTTTTAAGCAGGTCGTATTTTTGTTGAAAACCCTACGGATGATATTGGTAAAACGTATTTCAGATATTCGATTCGGAAAAGAGATGTCGAGTTGCTTTTCGGCCCCGCGTCGCCATTCTGGGTATTGTGATTTGTGATCGATTCGCCCCGTGTTTGGTTGGGCCCGCGCCGCGTGGTTCGGCGGTATTTCTTTGTCCACGACTTCGGTTGTGAAGAACACGCCTGTAGTGTTGGACTGGCGCGATTTGCCTACTTTGTCCGCTACAGTGTTGCGTTGCACTGATTTTGGTATGATTTGCTGCTTGGTAGAGCCAGAATACAATACGGGTTAACAGTTTGGGACGCAGGAACGCAGGAACGCTAACGCACCGAGCGAAAAAAAAAATGAGGAACGCTATTCCAGGAACGCACTAACCGCGGCCGGAGGAACGCAGGAACGCTAACGCACTACCGAAAATCGAGGAACGCGCCCAGCTCTGCTAGTAACAAAACACTTTCGCGTGGTTGCAAACGTGATTCATAGAGTTTTTCTCATAAATTACTGTAATTATGCGCTGAACAGTCTTTTGCAGTCAAATAACAAGATTTTTGAGACAATTATGATGCAGCTGCTTCAAATACCAGTTCTTCCATTTTGTTCTAAATTGGTCGTGTGCAGAAGCTATCGCCTCGCAAAGGCAAATTGAATGCGTTGATTTGATGTCGCTCGCTAAAAGGTGTCAGCGTGAGCAGATTCACGATTTTCTGTACATTATGCTGAAAATTATCTGTGTTCGTTAGCTCCCTTTGGATTTTGCTTTGGACGAACTGACTTTAGGGACATTAGGTTGGAATTTAGGCAGTAGTTAATGCTGAAAATTAGATAGCCTCTTTTCTGAAACTACTATGGACGTCAAACCCCTTGAGACCCCACTTTTTTGCGATAATTTTTAAATGCGTCAACTCTCGTTGACAATATTCTGGCAATGTGTGTTTCAGAACCTGCCGAAACTTTTATTACTAAGGTATTTTGACGCCAAACGATTATGAAAGGTACTTCTCATTCACTCGTAATGTTAAATTTCACGGAACGAATCTGCTGTTTGGGTAGAGGCTACGCGCTCATGGGGCGGAGCCACGTAATGACGTCAGCGCTAAGCTTCGCCCTACCTTGGCCCTACCCCTCCGGCGCTCCTTGCCCGGCGACCGGTCACTCGCGTCTCTCGCTCCATTCAGGCTTGATGGTGGGCGGTAGCTGGTAGCGGTAGCGGGCGCTGGTAGATGGCATTTAGAGCAGATGGCGCTGGTGGCGGGGCTCGAGTGTGGCCGAGCGCAAGCCTCTGCCCGGGCCTGAATTGACCTTAGCATTACGAGTGAATGAGAAGTACCTTCCATAATCGTTTGGCGTCAAAATACCTTAGTAATAAAAGTTTCGGCAGGTTCTGAAACACACATTGCCAGAATATTGTCAACGAATGTTGACACATTTCAAAATTATCGCAAAAAAGTGGGGTCTCAAGGGGTTTGACGTCCATAGTAGTTTCTATTAGATAGTAGGTAGGTATCTTGGTAGTCATAAAGCAGGCATCGCATGTGTTTTTTTTTTGCAACCAAGGACTGGAGAGGTGCTATACCCAGATATGCTTTCTAATCCAACCAAGCCAAACCTGACCTAACCATACCTACAACCTAAAACCTACCAGTAAAACGCCTTTTGGGCGAAGGACGAGCGAGCGAGATAGTGAGCCCTGCACGTGCGGAAGGGCGAGAGGGTACTTCCAACGGACTTGTGCAAAGCACCGTTCTAACCGGTCGCTAGCGGTGTGCCAAATTTGAACGCAATCAGCCCAGCCGTTTCTGAGATCTGGAAGCGGCATTCTGCACGTGTGCACGTGCAAACGGGGTCCAAACTGACTTTTGCACGGCACCCTCCTAACCGGTCCCCAACCGTGTGCCAAATTTGAGCGTAATCGGCCCAGCCGTTCTCGAGATCTGGAAGCGCCCCCTGCACGTGCGCACGTGCAGTAGCACCCTAACCGCAACACATGGGAATGCATTGCCTGGTGGGTGCCTACCTGTATGCCAAGTTTCAGCGAAATCGCCCCAGTAATTACCGAGTTATTGAAATGGGAACAAATTTGACACCTCTTATTGTTGTATTTTTGCACGTGCACTGGGGGTCACTCACATAGATCAAGAGTATCCGACCTTTGGTAGAAGGGATGCAGCTACCCTATAAAAATTACCGCAAGACAATCGCTCAAGCCGCTGCTGAGATATGGGCCTCTCAAAATCACTACTTTTGCAAAACTGCTTGAACACCTTTGACTTTTCACGTGGCACGTGCCACGACGGTCACTGAGATGTATCAAAAGTAGTCAATTACGGGGTAGAAGGGATGGGGCTACCCAGCAAAAAAAGACCGCAGGGCAATCGGTCCAACGGTTGCTGAGATATAAGCCTCTCAAAAGCGTTACAGGCCGGGCCGGGCCGGGCCGCTCATACTGAGATTTTTCCCTTATATTGAAAAGACTTCGCTTCGCTCGCTGCGCTCGCTCGCTCGTAACAACCCAAAAGCTACCACCTAATACCACCTGTACTGTATGTTGTTTTTGGTATTCCGTGTTTTTCTATAACCTAACCTACAGCACCTCTCCTTGGCTGCCAAAACAAGTGTGATGCCTGGGTGCTGTTCAGTCTCAGTTTTTTATCAGCAGGCTGTGAGCACTGAGCATGCTGCTGTTTCTTGTCTCATCATAGTCGTAAGTCGAATTCATGTGGCCTATTCATATTCATTTGACCAATGACCAGCTAAGAAGTGTCAGCAATAACTTCCTTATATGAGAAAACTGACGGCATGCTGATAAAAAACAGCAACCGAACAGAGCTCTGCTTTACTACTACCGGTATCTTTTCATACCTGAGCATTAAGCAGCCTAAGTGTGAGCATCTGAAGTTGAAGCAGGATAAGTCATGTTTGCCCATTTTTCATTTATTTTGTTCCTCTTTCTTTGAGATTATGAATTTATTATTACCTACCTTTGTTCCAGAGAAGCCGGCCTGACCACTGAATATTCAGATATGACATCTCTGCAGCCTGCTGAGCCATTCAAGCACCTAAATATAAGTTCGGCAGAGGTGTTGGAACGTCTCACTGAGCGCTCGCCATGCCCCAAGTGTCACAAGTCACGCATGTACTTCTGCTATAATTGCCTGGTACCAGTGGATGCCCTTACTGGAAAAATTCCTTATGTGCCGGTAAGCTGAGCTGGGCCATCCATAGTCACAGTTCTCTACGATTTCAGTGGCAAATACCTATATGAATGAATATCTTTTTGTGCTCAAGATTTACAGTGGTGTAACAGGTATTGAAATAAATATGCATTGTCTTGTTTCTGATGTGATGCCAAATTGTCATGAATCTGTCTTATGATTTTGTTCATTTGCAGTTGCCAGTAGAAGTGGAGATTGTCAAACACCCTGGTGAGACGAATGGCAAAAGCACGGCCGTACATGCTGCCGTCCTCGCCCCCGATGACGTCACGCTGCGGACGTATCCAGACGTGGGCAGCTACGACCCAGATGAGGTAGGGATGACTGGTGTCAGGTCACATCAATGCTTTGGCTTTTGGTTTTGATTACCTATTTTCTTTCATCCCTAGGATGTTTATGGGTAAGCAAAAGTGTTGGTTCATAGTTTAGTAACTTCAACTCTGTTTGGTGATTTTGATGCAAAAGTCCGTGGAATAAGGGCACATCAGGAAAATGACTGGATGTAAATTGTATATGACGTACTGCCAATGATCAATGAAATTAAATTGAATTGATTCGCCGACCACCGTGTCCAGGTCACAAACTGTTCCGTTCTCGACCTTCTGTTCACTGCTACCTACTCCTCCCTCGGCAGACTGTGCTGGTGTTCCCCGATTCATCGGCCGGGTCCGTGGCCGACGTTTCTGCCGAGTTTGCCGCCGCCGGTCGGCCGCTGCGGCGCGCGCTCTTCCTCGACTGCACATGGAACCAGTGCCGCCGTCTGCTGGACTCTGACCAGCTTCGCGGCCTGCGCTGCGTCCAGCTGCGTGAGCACGAGACGCGCTTCTGGCGGTACCAGCGAGGCAAACCGCGCACCCACCTGGCCACCATCGAGGCCGTCTACTACTTTGTCCGAGAGCTGCAGGAGAGTCGACACGACACGTACGGAGGTGAGTTTGACGACCTGCTCTTCTTCTTCGACCACTTCTACCGCACTGTGTTCCGCAGTAGGGCGGCCGGCTCGCTGTGGGCGTACCGGACTGAGGACACGTGGGTGCGGCCGTCGGAGCGCGAGCGTCAGAACTCGGACAGTGAGGAGGCCGGTGGACGGGACGGTAGTGGGGTGACGAACGGACAGTTGGAACGAGCGCCATAGCGGCGGGACAGTGAGCGGCGCAGAGATGATGGAGGTGTGATGACAGTCTGGTGCTGAAGCCTGAAGGGCGTTGTGTTGTTGACAAGAGGCGAAGTCACCGTTATTTATGATGCGGCGTGATTGAATTGACAAGTTTGGGTCTTACTGTAAGACGGTGTTATGCGTCATCGCATTGACAAACATTCATAAGAATCCTTGCTGGTGATTAATATTGTTTTTGCCATTGTTCAAGGCTCGCTTCACGGTAAGCATTTCTTTGATGTCTTTTTACATTGCTTTTTGCACACTGTTGTGTAAGTTGACATTTCCCATTGCATGTCTTACTGACAGAGAGGAAATCTGAACGGTACGTGATAAGTTAGGAACGGTGAAGATAAGTATTGTTCTTCGATAACAATCAAACGTCACAAATACCTATTCCGTAATTGCTGCTGCTCCTGTAAGATTGGTTCCATGCAAATGTTTTGCGAGCGACAATGCTCCTTTTGTAATTAGATGTGCCCAATCGGTACGGAAACCACTTTCTCATGATGTGTCAGCAACAGAATTTGTGCACCACGAAGTATATTTCAAACAAGAGGGGATAACAGGGTGTTTATACCCTAGAAGAAAATAAATAGCTTATCACAGTTTCGATGCACTGACGGTACTGATTGTAGCCAGAGAGCCTGTCTACATATTGAACTGTTTCGCCATTAATGCCTCATCATGACATAATGTCACGCTGCACAATATTTTCTGCCTAATGTACTTGCTAAGGTGGGCAACCGCCCACCGGTCGTGAATCCCAGCAGCGCTTCAGACCACACGCACATACAGCGGCAACTGGCCGCATTGGTATTACAGTTTGCAGAGCAGACTGAAAAACACCGGTCGGCCCACGGCCACAATGCACCAGACGTTTCCCTGGGGAAAAATCGTCCCCGGCGGGTTGAGGGGACGGAGACCGTGATAGCGATATTGGAACGCAACTGCAGTCTGCAGGACTCAAGAAACTATTCGTACATTGACAGCTATACATCGAGATTGTACAAAGCGTCACGAGCGCAATGTGTGGACGGTAGACGGTAGCCGACATTGCAATGCACCGGATACCAGTTACCACTAAAACACCCCAAACCGCTCAGCAAACCGACCGCCTCCAGCCCAGCATCGGGCTGGAGCTACGAGGCACGAGCACCAGAGAGAAACCTCGGCGGCGTGACCCAATCGATGTGCACTGCTTTTGCCCTGTTGTGTTCATCTAGAATCACTATTCTCAGGGCTTAGCTTCTGGGCGGATGCGTTGGTTCGGGATGCTGGTCACTACAGGGGCAGCCGCCTACAACAGCTGCCTACCAGCTGCCTCCCTAGCTGCTTCTGTGCTGCCTTCCTACTGCCTCTCTGCTGATTCCTCCCAACTTCCTTCCTGCTGTCTCTCTGAAGTCTCCTCCGAGCCTCCTTCCTGCTGCCTCTCTGCTTCCTCTCCTGCACTGCCTGCCGAGGCACCCGCCAGACCGCCCTCCCTATCCGTTCCGCGCGGACGGGACGACAGCACTCCCCGGTCGCTCCGCTAACAGCTCACTCTCTGAGCTCAGCGCAGCAGGGAGAAACTAAGCACGGAGCTACCCGACTGCGGCCGGGCAGACCAGCGAGACTTGCGTCCATTGCTGATGGAGGGCACTGGCAGCGGGGACAAAAACGAGCCGTTAGCGGGAGATGCAACCAAACTGGCTTCAATGATGGAGTGAGGACCATGGGCCCACGGTAGAAGAGACAGACGAACGTGGTGATGGGACAGACGTCAGGGTAACAGCCAATAATGAACGCCATGGAAACTGCAAGACAGTCTTTATGGTAATTGCGTACAGACGCCATGGAATCAGAGCCAACGGGACAGACGACATGGCAAAAAAAGAAAAACGTCACGACAATAGTGGGGCACACCGATACGTCCATTATCCATTTCCCTAGCGTTCACTACCCTCTCCTCGACTCACGCGGCGGAAGGCCGCTGTCGTGCAGTGACCCCGGCGACGGCCAGCGGGTCGGGATTGCAGCGATGGCAGCCGCGTCCCGTCGCCCTCGTCATCGGACTCGACGATGGGCTCTCCGTGCCTGGCGCCACTGTCGTAGAAACGAGTGATGATGTGGGGAGGGTGGTGGAGAACGGGTGGTGGCGAGTGGAAGTGATTACAGTTCAGTAAAGGGCGTATGGTGACGAGTGGTAACGGTTTGTTGTGGGCTGGGATGACGGCAGGACGGCTTTTAGACGGCCCATATTGAGTGGTTGAAATGTCATCCACGATACGCTGACTTGTAAGGTTGCAAGAAATGTATGCACCATGTAACATTTAAATCGTCATTTAGTGAAACAGGACCTTTACTTCTCTATCTCTATCCAATTGATCCTACTTTACTATCCAAATCACTATCCAATTGAATATTTACGGATACGGGCCTCCTTGACCTTATTGTATCGAAAAAAACGTGACGCTTATCGTATGTACGGGTTCGGACACTTCTGCTGTTGCTCAGGTGAAGCGACTTACAGCGATATCCGTTCTGGGCCGCGCCGGTCCCTCAGTGACCCAGTCCGGCGCCGGCGAAGGTCAGCCAATGAGCCGAGCTCGTCGTAACTGCTGGCTCGCCGCAGTCGGTACGGCCTGGGCGGGGTAGTGGGAGGTCAGTCTTACGGAACAGGTGGTCTCTCTCTCTCTCTCTCCTCTCTCTCTCTCTCTCTCTCTCTCTCTCTCTCTCTCTCTTCTCTCTCTCTCTCTCTCTCTCTCTTCTCTCTCTCTCGCTCGCTCGTCACTCACTCACTCACTCACTCATCACACTCACTCACTCACTCACTCACTCACTCACTCACTCACTCACTCACTCACTCACTCATCACTCACTCACTCACTCACTCACTCACTCACTCACTCACTCACTCACTCACACTCACTCACTCACTCACTCACTCACTCACTCACTCACTCACTCACTCACCATCACTCACCTGACAGTGTCGCCGTTGCCTCCACCCGCTGAATTCAGAGCCTCGGCGGATCCCGAGAGTCGCCTGCCTCGGCCGCGCCTGATAGAAGAGAACGATCAGCAAACTCGTATGCGACGATCACATACGTTCACGAAACATTTACATTCAGGAGACTACAACGTTCGTATAGGGACTAAAGGACGAAAGCTGACTGCTTGCCTTTCAAATGTAAAACACTGAATTAAAGGGACTATCCCACCTTTAACATGGGGTTTGAGTTGAGATAGCCAAGTTTGCGGCGAGGTTCAGAAACCACTATCTATCTAGGTTGCACCCCCGCGGCCTCTTGGTGTTGAAGAAATCCGTTCCCTTCATTTGAAAATGGGCCTTGCGCAAGGCCCTATCTTCAACATGGGGCGACCGTTTGTGTGACGTCACCTCGTTAAGTCATTCTGATTTAAATGGGTTTGTTCGTTGAAAAATCGCTTAAAACTTGGTCTGAACTTTGTTGTGGTGCCTACAGAGTAAAAAGAATCAGCTTTATGACAGTAATGTGGCCTGGGGAAGGAGGTAATTTTGGGCTGTGACGTCACATATTTGAAAGTTTGTGTTTGGAATATGGGAAGCCTAAGATGTTTAATGAAAAATAAATGCCAGAACCGTGTTCCTGGTCATCCAATCTATAAAGTCGGGCACAATTTAACTGGTTTTAACAGCATTTTAGAAGGTGGGATAGTTCCTTTAACGCCTAAGTCGCTGCTTTTCTTTATAAGTTAGGCTGTGCCGCAGTGCAGAGGCGCTCTGCAGGTCAGTGTGTTTTCCGGCGTCGCACCTAGTTTCGCTAATGCCACACCATTGTATTACTATTATGAGTAAGATGGAACTGGTTCCAGCGCCAATGAGCGAATCTTAGTTCGACTGGACATGGAGATCCTTTTTGATAGTGACAAAACAAAAACGATTTCTCTGTTACTGTATACTTTATACCTATGTATACCAAATCAGCCGACTGCCCATTTAGCGTACCTTCCGAGGACCGAGTTGATGCCGCGCAGGTTCTGCCGCATCTCCAGGCGGTCGGCCTCGGTGGGCTCGGGCGAGGCGGCGCCAATGGCAATCGGCGGCAGTTGCAGCGGGGAAGAGGCCGAGTTGGGCACAGAACTGAGCGACACGGGACGCCGGGACAGGTCACTCGTCAGGGGAACACAAGGCGCGGACCGGGAGGAGTGACGCACTCGCCAGGCAGAGATAACACTCGACACGGTCAGAGTTGACGGACCGTTCATAGGGCTAGTCACGTGACATGTGAGACAAACACTGGCGTCAACTGTGAGAAACAGCAGTGTGGTAATATTATATCGATCAGGCAAACCATCGGGGAGGCAAGGCGCTAGCCGACACCTGTCGACCTGAACACCGCACCAATCGAACGAAGAATGGCGCGCACAAGTCAATCTGAACAATGCACGATATTATGACAACCAGCAAAGTACACCAACGGCAGGAGAGCAGAACAAGTCGAGTACCGACCACAAAGTTATATGTGGTTAGCCACAGCGAAAAGGGTCACCTGTGTGAGTGCATATACGTGGCCGAATCACGGTGCTAGGGGCTGGTGCTGTAAGTGCAGCAGCGGACCCTGAAGTTCCAAGGTCACTCGATCGCGAAGTAATTTGAAGTTTGGACCGATATAGCACCAATTGGTGCCTCCACGTCGATGTCCAACGTTTTATGGCCAGCTAATTTCCGCCGTGTGGTTCTAATGGAATTGGTAGCCGGTCGTCAGTGAAGTGTTGCTCCGTTTTGACTGGAGGATAGTTTTTATGCTGGCGCTTAATCGATGTTAATAAATCATGTTTTGATGTAACAACAGCTGCCAATATTAACAGCAATAAAATTGCTGTATGAAACGTTTACTGTGGATTTCAGCGAATCGCAGCATGACACCTAGCACCCAATCCAACACGAACAAGCCGTGGGCAGGAAATACCGTGCACTCTCCAACTCATATTTCACAAATTAAATGAACAAATTTAAACAAACAGCACACTGCACCGACGATGTGTCATCGGTGTTGCTCAGTCAATGCATGATGCCAAACGTGAAGGCAAAACGCCGAAATGTGAAGTGTTCGTTATGGCAAAGGAAAAATTTGCTCTCGAAGGATATCATGACATTTCGAAGGACTTGAGGACCTTTGAACCGATTGTCGCCGATATAGCCCAGTTTGGAGCGTATGTGAGCCATGTTAGTGCTGTATTTTGGGCAGGTGCGGGACGGAGTCGGTCCGGACGTTGCTCTCCCGACTCGGGGAGCTGGGAACACTGCGTGTCTCGCGCTGAG